TAACTTGTTATGTAAAATTATTTATTTATCTAAGATGCACCTACACTGAATTTATCTGAAAAATAAAAAAAGTTGATATTAAGAAAAAAATTGTAAATGGAAGATTATAAGAGAGGGTTTCACGTGCCAGCAAAAGTTACTGGCGTGCCCTGTTTGGCACGCGTGCCAGGGGTTGCCCACCCCTGCCCTAGGGTCTCCACAGGTCTCTTTGCAAGGCAGCATGGGATGCATTCTGCTCCTTCTCACCTCTTCGTGGATCAAGCTCCAGATCCAACATCACTTCCCACATCGAGGCTTCTTGGCCGCTGCTGCCCCGCAGACCCCCAGATTTTAGTCTTCCCTCCTCATGCCCCGGGATTGCATGTTACCACGGACATGCTATGCTGTCCCAACGGGGATTTGAGCTCCCTGTTGAGGGTAGAGCTTGCACCTGAGTCCCCTGTGTCGCCTCTGACCAGGGACATCCCCCCACCCCGCCCCAAGGTGAGCAGTGAATTCTTACTGGCTGGCTGGGGGAAGTGGGAAGTGGCTGGAGGAATGTGTCCAGTGACTGTGCGAGGACAGTGCTGTGGGTTAAAAGCAGCTGGGACCAGAGCTCAGAACCAAAAGAAATCAGGGTGGCCTGCGGGGGGTGGGGGGGGCAGGCCACCAGCCAAATGCAAATCGGCAGGGTCAAGGTCAGCCTCTCCTTTCTCTGGCGTTCGGGGAGAACAGGAAGTGGAGTCCGGGCAGCTGTTTCTGATGAAAATAGATGTTCTCCAGGCTTGAATGTGGGGCATGGAGGAGGGGGCAGGGGAAAGAGAACCAGAAAGGGGAGAGCCTCCCGGAGAAACGGAACATCCACAGGCCCTCTCTCCCGCGGTTTGCTTTCTGTTACGGCAGTTTCCAAGCGCCCACCAACGTAAAAAGAATAACATAATGAACCCCATGTGCCCATCACCAGCTCCAACAACCATCCCCGTGTTGCCATTCTCGTTTCGTTCTCCCCCCGGGCACCTTGTTAAAAAATTCCAGATGTTTTATCATTTTACTTATAAACATTCCCAAAGGTGTCTCTCATATGTTACGACGTCAAGGAAAACCTCCATATTGTTATCACACCTAATAAAGCTATTTCTGAATCCCAATTGAATAAAGTCCATGTTCAAATAGTCTCATTTTCCTCAAAAAATGTCTTTTCAGGATCCATTTATTTAACCAGGACCTCAACAAGGTCCATATATTGTATTTTGTTGTCATGACTCTCAATCTCTTTCAATCTCTCAGCTCTCTCTTAGTCTTTTTATTTAATATATATTTTTTATTGATTTTTTACAGAGAGGAAGGGAGAGGAATAGAGAGTTAGAAACATCGATGAGAGAGAAACATCGATCAGCTGCCTCCTGCACACCCACGACTGGGGATGTGCCCGCAACCCAGGTACATGCCCTTGACTGGAATCGAACCTGGGACCCTTCAGTCCGCAGGCCGACGCTCTGTCCACTGAGCCAAACCGGTGCTGGCTCTCTTAGTCTTTTTTATGCCCTTTTATGTGTTGAAGAAACGAGGTGCTTTGCCCTCGTTGTTAGCTAGGTGGGTTGAACCCTCATGGTGTCACTTAGCATGTCCCACTGCTCCCCCTGTTCCAGAAAATGGGCATTTCGATCGGAGAGCGGCTCTGTGAAGGGTCGATTACTTTGATAAGCAGACCTCCTGGGCGGAGCTGTGCCCTTCCTACTGCATCTCCCAGGAGCACTTAGAGTCAGATGTTCCTTTTGGGGTTGTACGAAGGATGACCAGTGTCACCTGCCTGATCTCCCCATTAGGAAGCTCCCTGCTGCCTTTCACGGAATCTTAAAGCACCCGCAGACCTGGGAGAGATCTGAGGAACCCCCTCGCCCGTTTTCCTACTCATCCCACAGGATTTGTTGAGCATCTACCGTATGCCAGGCAGTGAGCTGCAGGGACCAGAACCAACACGCTCCCTGGGATCGTGGAGTCGTCGGTCGGATGGGAGCAGACAACCGATACGTGAGCAAGCGGACACGCCAGGAGACGTGTCTGCGAGGGTTAGAGCTCTGCAGAGCGCCACGTGGAGTGAGGTGGCCACCGTGTCATGGCGGCCAGGGAGAGCCTCCCTAGGAGAGGACACTGGAGCCCGATCCAGCCATGCAGAGATGGGGGTGCCCTCCAGGGAGAGGGCCTGGGCACCCACCAGGAGAAATGGGGGGGCGGGCGGGGGGCCAGTGTGCCAGGGCCTGTGCAGTGGGGAGACCAGCAAGGAGGCTTCTGTGCAGGTGGGACTGACAAGGGCTGGGACCTGGGTGGCAGAGTGGAGAGGGGGGCCAGCCCAGCACCCCTTTCACCCCCTTTTACAGCCGAGAACGCTGAGCTCAGAGCGGGCAGGGAGGTGGTGCTTCTTAAGACGCTACCTGCGCCAGGAGCTTCCTGTGCAGCCTCCAGAGACCACACAGCTCGCTGTGTCGAAGTCACGGCGCCTGTGTCACAGGGGAGACCAGGGGAGGGGGAGCCGGGCCCGGAGAGGGTCCTGACCTCCAGAGCCGCCCCACGCTGAGCTGACCTCAGCGGGGCCAGGTGCCTCCAGTTGGCTCTGGCACCCACAGCCCTGTGACCTGGACCAAGGGCCTCTCCCTCTCTGTGTCTCAGTTTCCTAACCTGCGAAATGGGAGTGACATGTGCCCCAGGGCACAGCAAGGCCAAGATGGGGTAGTTCAACCTGCCCCTACTCCCAGCGCCTGCCCACGGGCCCACGAGGGTGACCTCAGCACAGAGTGCAGGCGGCTGCACACTCTCCCACCCAGACACACACAGGGTTAACCCAGCCTCCTTCCTCCATCCCAATTCTTTTTTTCCCCCCCCCCCCCCCCCCCCCAGCTATTCTGGGACAATGGAGGCAGCAGATGGCCTGTACCCTCCACCCGACCCTCAGAATCTGGGAGCAGCCTGCGAGTCTGATGCTGCTTCCTTAAGCAGGGCGGCAGGCCGCCTTCTATGTGCAGCGCGGAGAGGGTCGGACCGGACCGGACCAGACCGTGGCTGTGGAGCACACCCCACCCCACCCCCACCCTCCCCGCACCAGGCCACTCCTCCCGCTCACATCCCAGACGCAGCCCAGGGAGAGAGAAGGCCTGGAAGAGCCCAGCCCTCTGGCTCAGCCCCTGACCTGCTGTGTGACCCCGAGCTCACAGTGGCCCTTTGCTGGGGCTCAGGCTCCCCCCGGAAAACAGGGCTGAGGCACTGGGGCTCAGGGGTCCCAGGCAGGGGAGCAGCAGGGCCCAGTCCTTCGAGGGCTGGACGGTGTGTCCACGGGAGCCCCCACCCCTTAGCCCCTCTCCTCCCTCTTCCCTCCTCCCCCAGCCCAGAGCCCCACTGTGACCCTGACTCCCCACATCACTGGGCGTGATCCGGGTGGGAGAAGGCACCTCCCATCCCTAACCCGCCCCAGCCGAGCACCACCGGCCAGCATTTCCCAGTCACTTCATTCATTCATCCAGCCGCTTTGGGACCGACATTCTCAGGGCACTTGCGTTTATTCAGCTCCCACCTTGGCTGTCACCTCCCTCCCACCGCCCCTTTATCCGACACCAGAGCCTGAATCCTTCAGCTCCGAGTCGCCACTCTGCCTTCCGATTCCCTGATTCCCTGATTCCCTGGCCTCCCCCAACCCAGGCTGAGGGCAGAGGAAAGGAGGAGGAGCTCCCGCATTCCAGCACCTCCTGGCACACAAATATTCACACACGTGTACATGTACACACGTGTGACCGGGGCACAAACACATACGTACACCACACTCAAGTCTTAGCACGGACATGTGTAGAAGAAAGAGTACGTGCCACACACACACCTGTCACACCATGACCCACACACACTAACAGCAGTCGTCGTTCTCTGTGCCGTTCTCTGTGCCGGGCTCTGGGCCGTGCCCCACACTGCATCATTCCATCCAGACACCATCCCGGGAAGAAGGTATTCTCATCTACTAGAACAGGAACATCTGGGCAAACAGGCCAGAGAGACCTAGTGGATTCCCCAAGGCTGCACAGCGAGGGCAGAGCAAGGATGGATCACTCGGGACCCAAGTCAACGCCACTGTGGCAGGCAGACCAAAGACCCCGCCCCTTCGGGGACCTGTCAGCCACGTGTAACAAAAACCTGGGCCAAGAGAGACTTGAACAGACAGGGTTTACTTTTCTCACAGAACCGGATGCTAGACAAGACAGGTGCGGAGGGTTGTCCTGGCCTCTGCTTCATGGCCGCAAAGTGGCTGCCCAGAACCAGACATCACACCCACATCCACAGCGGGAAGAGGGAGGGTGGGGCGGCAACACTTTCCCAACTCCTCCCTCTTGGCATTGCTCAGTTCACACGAAGGGGCAGAGCTCTGACTAGCAGAGCCGGGAACATGGAAGCGCCTAACCGCACGGGGAGCTGGGAGAGTGAGCAAAAGGCTCGCCAAGCTTGGATGGGACCCACGATGATCCACCGTCGGCTCCGGGCAGGCTGACCCTCCAAACAAAACCGGGGCCTGTTAGCCAGGGCGGGGGGCAAGGAGCTGGAGACGGCCAGCAACCACAGCACCTGCCACAGACCTTGAGCCCCGGCCGCCTTTCCCCCGGTGCCCAGCGGTTGCGGACCAGGCCCAGGGACCCAGGAGTGAGTGGCGGGCCCAGTGCTTGACCCCAGGGAGTGACAGAGACCAGAGCTGGGCTGGGGCCACCCCCACCCAGAAGCCCCTGTAATGTTGCTGCGATTTAAGACTCCTGAGCCGCAGGCCAGCTCAATGGCCCCACCCTGTTCAATTCAGCCACCCAGGGCCCGTGGGAGCCCAGCCCCTGGGGCCTCTCTGACTCCACCCGGTTCCCAGTCCATCCGACCCACGTCTCCGGAGCCTGGGATGCCTTCACCACCAGTCACCATCCGATCCTGGGCTTGCCCACCACTCGGAAGCCCTGCCGGGGACTGCCCACCCAGGGCACTGCCGCAGGCCCTCAGGGCTGCCTTGGGAGGCGAGGGCCAACCAGAGGCCTCAGCTCCACAGTCGCCCGGCAGTTCCGGGCTCATCGGGCCACCAGCTGTGGGCACCAGGGAGTGTCGGGGTAGAGGAGACAATGCAGGGAGCGGAACCTAAGGAGAAACCAGAAACGGGCAAGGCGTCACCCCACTCCTACCCTTACC